ACAAGAGATACAAGATGATATGAAGCAATAGTTTGGGGGTCCTGAGAAATTTTTCTTTTTTTTTTTTTTTTTTTTTTCTTGAGACAGAGCCTCAAGCTGTCCCCCTGGGTAGAGTGCTGTGGCATCACAGCTCACAGTAACCTCCAATGCCTGGGCTCAAGCGAGTCTCCTGCCTCAGCCTCCAAGTAGCTGGGACCACAGGCACCTGCCACAATGTCCAGCTATTTTTTGATTGCAGCCGTCGTTGTTTAGTGGGCCCGGCCTGGATTTGAACCCGCCACCTTAGGTGTATGTGGCTGGCGCCTTAGCCACTTGAGCCACAGGCGCTGAGCCAATCCATTGATTTTTTCATTGCTTCAGATAGAAGCATCTATAATACATGAAGATAAAGGCATTTGCAATTCAAAGCATAATGCTACTAACACCACACACATGCCAAAATGATTGCTGGACCAGGCAAATGGAAACCAACTGTTTGTTTATTGTTAATAATCCACCAGTGTTGGAAAATACTCTTGCAGTAGTACAAAGTACATAATTTTATTCAATAGTGACTCTTTTGGTAGATACAGTTATATGAAATGTGACATCTAAGTACTACAAGTGCACAAGATGAAAAAGAAAGGTAGTGTGAGACTTTTCCAGCAGCAAATTGGGGGGATGCTGTTCCAACTTCTGTTTCCACTGAGTAAGCCAGAAGATATAACTCTGTTGCCATGTCAGGGCTTTATTTCTGTGATAATGAGATAAAGAGAATGACATGTATTTAATTTTATGGTTTTACCATTTGCAAAATATTAATTCAACACATGCTTTTTATCCTGCAATGTTATAATATTTAAATAGCTTACCTTAGACCAGGGCTGGAGGATAGGAAATACAATGATATGAATATGGATAGGAGACAAATGTTCTCAAAGTTCAAAATATTTTAAACAGCAAGCAGTGTGTAACCAAAAGTTTATCTCTGAATGCAGACTCAATTTAATTACTTCAGTTAATTATTACAGCTATTCAACACATAGCAATGGGGGGGCATTCAAAGGGAGTATGAGCAAGTTCTTGCATAGGAGTTTGTTATGTAATGGGGAGGGAGGGGAAAAGGCTACAGAAGATGGAAAAGATAAGACGTTAAACTTAGATTCAATGCTGGAAGAGAGAATATGGATCCCTTAACAGAATCCCTTTATTTTACATAGAAGGAAAGAGGCTTAAAAATATAAATGATCACAAAAGTGTGATTGCATGCTAACATTCTCAGTGGGGGATGCTAAATTTAAGGAAGAAAGTGATCCTCATGAGTGGAAGTGTTTTGAATAAAGCAGAATCAAAGAGGGAAGGGCATTCTACATATGAGGAATGATGCTGGAAGCCGTGGCTCGCACCTGTAATCCCAGCACTGTGGGAGGCCGAGGGGGGAAGATTGCTTGAGTTCAGGAGTTCCAGACTTGTTTGAGAGAGAGGGAGACCCTGATTCATTAAAAAAGGAAAAACCCAGTTGGGCACCGTGTGAGTGCCTGTAATCCCAGAGGTTTCTGGAGGCTGTGGGCATCCAAGTCTGAGGTTGCAGTGAGCTATGACTTCACGGCACTCTACTCAGGGCAAAGGGTGGGACTCCGTCGCAACAACAACAAAAAAAACAAGGCGACACATGAGGAATGACTGTAGTCTGTCTAGGAGGCAGCAAGTTGAAGCTGGTTAGAGAAAAGGATTCAAACTGAGAAGACTCTTAGAGCTGGAAGACATCTTAAGAGATCTTGTCCAACTTTTCCCCTAGTGTAGAAATGACAGCAGTAAAGGTTGAAAAGGTCAATTGAAAGGAGATGTAGAAGACCTTGAATGCTATTTTGGAGTTTGGTCCTTTGTGCCAGTGCTTGTCAACCCTGCCCCCCATTATTGCTCCTCTTAAGGGACTTTTATACTTTTTCCCCTCTAATTGCCTCCCCCTGAAATTTTAGTACTGCAGATACATTGTACATCTGCTCAAGCAATGTGACCCTTTGGAGAGCCACAAACCATTATAATGTCCAAGATCTCCTGTCCTGAACCAGCCGTCACCTCCTTGCGGGCATAGGCACATATAAGCAATGGGTAGCTGCTGAGATGTTTAGGGGGCCTGAGTTTCCTCTTTGTTTCTTTGACTCGCTCCCCCAATTTCTCTTTTCCCCCCTCACTTTGCCTTCCTTTCTTCAAGTCTCTACTTTCCTCTCGATAGACATGGACAGATATAACTGAATTATATTTTCTAATATTCCTTCATCTTAACTAAAAATAAAAACAAAACACAGAGTAAGATCACACTTTAACATTTTTCTTTAAAACATTTTTTTTTTTTTTGAGACAGAGCCTCAAGCTGTCACTCTGGGTAGAGTGCCATGGCATCATAGATCACAGCAACCTCCAACTCCTGGACTCAAGCAATTCTCCTGCCTCCACTTCACAAGTAGCTGGGACTACAGTCGCCGGCCACAACCCTCGGCTATTTTTAGGTTGCAGCTGTCATTGTTGTTTGGCGGGCCCCCGGTTGGATACAAACCCACCAGCTCTGGTGTATGTGGCGCCTTAGTCGCTTGAGCCACAGGCACCGAGCCTAAAACATATATTTTTTTTTTCAAAAAGAGAGAGAAAACCAAAACCCAAGCTTCAATTTATCCCAAAACAAGCATTCCTTTCTTTCCCCCCTGATTTTAGTCTGATTCAGTGAGTCTGAACAGAAAAACGTCTCCCATTTCTTTTATAGTATAGAGGGGTGTCCAACCTTTCTTCTTTTCTGGGGCACATTAGGAGAATAAAAGTTGTCCTGGGCCACACATTAACTAGCAAGCACTAACAAAAAGTGATGAGTAAAAAAAGGTCCATGCACACTTTTCTCAATATCTGACACCACAAATAAGCAAAACAGTACTCAAATAATCTGCATGTGGCCACAAGTTGGATACCCCTGGGATATTTGTTTTCAATCAGAAAGGATGAGGGATGAGTACTTGTTTTATTTTTATTTATTTTTTTGAGACAGAGTCTCACTATGTCATCCTGAGTAGAGGGCCCTGGCATCACAGCTCACAGCAACCTCAAACTCTTGGGATTAAGCGATTCTCTTGCTGCATCCTCCCAAGTAGCTGAGACTATAGGAACCCTCCACAATGCCCAGCTATTTTTGTTCTTGTTGTTGTTATAGTTGTCATTGTTGTTTAGCTGGCGCAGGCCGGGTTCTAACCCACCAGCCTGGGTGTATGTGGCCAGCGCTGTAACCACTGTGCTACAGGTGACAAGCCAAGTACTTGTTTTTTAAAATGCTTTCCTGGGGCAGTGCCCATGGCTTAGTGGGTAGGGTGCTGGCCCCATATACTGAGGGTGGCAGGTTCGAGCCTGGCCCCTGCCAAACTGCAACAAAAAAATAGCCGGGCATTGTGGTGGGCGCTTGTAGTCCTAGCTACTTGGGATGCTGAGGCAAGAGAATCACCTAAGCCCCAGAGTTGGAAGTGGCGTTGAGCTGTGATGCCACAGCACTCTATTGAGGATGACATACTGAGACTGTCTCTGTAAAAAAAGAGTAAAAAAATAAAATGCTTTCATGGTTCAGGCTGGGCACAGAGGTGCTTACCCATAGCCCCAGTTACTCATACCTGTAATCCTAGCACTCAGGGAAGCCAAGGCAGAAGGATCACTTGAGGTCAGGAGTTCAAGACCAGCTTGAGCAAGAGTGAGACTCCATCTCTACTAAAAATAAAAAATTAGCCAGATGTTGTGGCAGTCACCTATAGTACCAGCTACTCCAGAGGCTGAGGCAGGAGGATCACTTGAACACAGGTGTTTAAGGTTGCTGTGAACTAGGCTGATGCCATGGCACTTTAGCCTGGGCAAAAGCCTGAGCCTCTTTCTCAAACGAACAAAAAGAAAATGAATTAATGTAATCTGTTATATTAACAGGCTAAAGAAAAATCATATGACTGTATGAATAAATGCAGAAAAGCATGTGACAAAATCTACTACCCATTCATGATAAAATCTCTCAGCAGATTAAGGCTAGATTCTTCGGCTTGGTGCCTGTGGCTCAAGTGGCTAAGGCGCCAGCTATGTACACCCAAGGTGGCGGGTTCGAATCCAGCCCGGGCCTGCCAAACAACAATGACGGCTGCAACCAAAAAATAGCCGGGCGCTGTGGCGGGCGCCTGTGGTCCCAGCTACTTGGGAGGCTGAGGCAAGAGACTCGCTTGAGTCCAGGAGTTGGAGGTTGTTGTGAGCTGTGATGCCACGGCACTCTGCCCAGGGGGACAGCTTGAGGCTCTGTCTCAAAAAAAAAAAAAAAAAGACTAGATTCTTCAACTTAACAAAGAAAGTATACCAAAAAAGCCTACAACTAAGATCATACTTTATAGTGAGAAACTGTGATGTTTTCCTCCTAAGATTAGGAATGAGGCAAAGATGTTTCCCCTCACTACTCCTATTGAACACTGTACTGAAAGTCTTACCTAATGCAATTAGAAAATAAGGGAAGTAAGAGGTATATAGAATGGCAAGGAAGAAATAAAACTGTCTTTGTTTGCAGATGCTATTGATTATATAGAAAATCCCAAAGAGGCCGGGTGCCTAGCACTCCTGGAGGCCGAGGCAGGTGGACTGCTTGAGCTCACAGGTTTGAGACCAATCTGAGCCAAAAAAAAAAAAAGCAAGACTCTATCTACTAAAAATAGAAAAACTGAGGCAAGAGGATCGTTTGAGCCTGAGTTGGAGGTTGCTGTGAGCTATGACACCATGATACTCTACCCAGGGCAACAGCTTGAGAGTCTATCTCAAAAAAAAAAAGGAAAAAAAAAGAAAATCCCAAAGAATAATTCCTGGAACTGGAACTAATTACAATCTAGTCACAGGATATAAAGTTAATATAAAATAAACATAATACACAAAAGTCAATCACCTCCCTATATGCCAGCAACGCACACTTGGAAGTTGAAATGGAAAACACAATACCATTCACATAAACACCAAAAAATTAAATATTTAGACATAAATCTAACAATATACATATAGAATCCATATGAGGAAAACTACAAAACTCCAATGAAAGAAATCAAGAAACAAATGAAGAGATATTCCGCATTCATGGATGGGAAGACTCAATATTAATATGTCACTTCTGGCCAGGTGCAATGGCTCATGCCTGTAATCCCAGCACTTTGGGAGGCCAAGGCAGGAGGATCACTTGAGGCCAGGTATTCAAGATCAGCCTGGGAAACACAGTGAGATCCCTGTCTCTAAAAAAAACAGGTGGGGGTGGTGGTAGGAACCTGCAGCCCTAGCTACTTAGAAGGCTGAGGTAGGAGGCTCACTTGAACCTAGGAGTAAAAAATCAAATACCAAAATCAAAACAAAACAAAAATCAAAACCAAAAAGAGTCAAGTCTCCCCAGCTTGACTAGAGATTCAATGCAATTCAGTCAAACTCCTAGCAAGTTTCATGATTATAAAAAAAATGATTCTGGCTTGGTGCCTATACCACAGTAGTTTTGGTGCCAGCCACATATACTGAAGTTGGCAGGTTCATGCCCAACCGGGGGCCTGCTAAACGACAATGACAACTGCAACAGAAAATAGCCAGGCATTGTGGCAGGTGCAAGAGAATCACTTAAGGCCAAGAGTTTGAGGTTGCTGTGAGCTATGACACTATAGCACTCTACCCAGGGTGACAAAGTGAGACTCTGTCTCAAAACAAACAAACAAACAAACAGAAAACTGATTCTAAAGTTTATAGGGAAAGGCAAAAAGGCTCAGAATAACAGACTACTGAATACCAAGGTTAGAGGACTGGCACTACTCAAATTTAGGACTTAATATCCAGTAATCAAGATAGCCTGTTATTGATAAAAGAATAAACAAATTGATAATAGAGCAGAACAGAGAGCCCAGACAGACCAACATAAATATAATCAAGTGAGATTTGATAAAACAGCAAAGGCAGGCTGGGCATGCTGGCTCACCCTTATTATCCTTGCACTCTCAGAGGCCAAGTCAGGGGGATCCCTTGCACTCAGAAGTTCGAAACCAGCCTGAGCAAAAGTGAGACCCTATCTCTACTAAAAAATAGAAAAACTAGCCAAGTATGGTGGTGGGATCCTGTAGTCCCAGCTATGCAGGAGGTTGAGGCAGGAGGATTACTCTGTCCCAAGAATCTGATTTTGCTGTGAACCAGGCACTCTAGCCTGGGCGACAGAGTGAGACAAGACTCTGCCTCAAAAAATAAGCAAGCAAACAAACAAACAAAAAAGCGAAAAAGCAATTCAGTTGAGGAAGAATAGTCTGTTCAACAAATGGTACCAGAACAACTGGATATCTAAATGCAAAAAATGAATCCAGACATACAACGTATATACTTTTCACAGAAATGAACTAAGAATGGATCTTAAACCTAAACATAAAATACAAAACTGTGTTAACTTGTAGAAGATTAACAGAAGAAATCTAGGGGGACTGTGGATTTGGCACTGAGTTTTCAGATATGACACCAAAAGCATAATCCATGAAAGAAAAAATTATTAAGTTGGACTTTATTAAAATTAAAAACTTCCCAGCTCTGCAGGAGGGCTGTGAGAGTAAAAATAAATAAATAAATAGGGTGGTGCCTGTGGCTCAAAGGAGTAGGGCGCCGGCCCCATATGCCAGAGGTGGCGGGTTCAAACCCAGCCCTGGCCAAAAACTGTAAAATAAATAAATAAATAAATAAATAAATTTAATTTAAAACTTCTGTTCTGTGAAAGACATTGTCAAAGGAATGAAGAGAAAGCTAAAGAATATGAGAAAATATTTTTAAACATGCATCTCATAAAAAATTTGTATCCAAAATACACAAAAGAGGGCCGGTGAGGTGGCTCATGCCTGTAACCCTAGCACTCTGGGAGGCTGAGGTGGGAGGAGCCCTTGAGCTTTAGAGTTTGAGACCTGCCTGAATAAAGCTAGGCCTCCTCTCTATAAAAATAGACAAATTAGCAGGACATAGTGGTGCATGCCTGTAATCCCAGCTACTCGGGAGGGTGAGGTGGGAGAACTGCTGAAGCCCAGGAGTTTGAGGTTGCTGTGAACTAGGCTGAGGCGATGGCACTCTAGCCTATGTGACAGAGTTAGGTTCTGTCTAAACAAACAAGCAAACAACCTCTCTCTGTCTTTCTTTCTCTCCCTGCATGGATTTCTTTGGGGAAAAAAATAAATGCTCAAACAAAAATGTAAAAATGGCTCAGGTGTGGTGGCTCATTGGATAGTCCTAGCACTTTGGGAGGCCGAGGTGGGTGGATTGCTTGAGCTCAGGGGTTCAATACTGTCTCTACTGAAAAAAAAAAAAAAAAAAAAAAAAAAAGTATTGGTTCTTTTTTGCAATGCAAACCCTAAAAAAAAAAAAATACACAAATAACTCTTATAACTCAACAGTAAGGGGGGCGCCTGTGGCTCAAAGGGGTAGGGCACCAGCCCCATATGCCAGAGGTGGCAGGTTCAAACCCAGCCCTGGCCAAAAACTGCAAAAAAAAGAAAACAGTAAGAGAATAAACAACCCAATTAAAAAAAGATCTGGACACCTCACCAGATTACAGATGGCAAATGACCAAATGAAAAGATGCTCAACATTAGATGTCATTAGAGACTGCAAATTAAAACAACAATAAAATACCATTATACACCTATCAGAATGGCCAAAATCCAAAAACCGACAATACCAAATGCTGGAGAAGTTAAGGAAAAACAGGAACACTTACTTACTGCTATAGAAATGCAAAATTGTAAACCACTTCAGGAAACAGTTTGGCAGTTTATTTTAAAACCAAACACAGTCTTATCCAATGAGCCAGGAATCACATTCCTAGGCTATTTACCCAAGTGATTTGAAAACTTATGCCTACACAAAAATCTGCATGCCCGTGCTTATAGCAGTTTTATTCATAATCACCAAAAACTGCAAGCACCCAAGATTTCCTTCAGCGGGTAAAAGGATAAACACCCTATGATACATCTATACAATGGAATATGATTCAGCAATTAAAAAAATGACCTATCAAGTCAGAAACAGACATGGAAGAACCTTAAATGCCTATTGCTAAGTGGAAGAAACCAATCTGAAAAGTCTACATATAGTCTACAACCATATGTCATTTTGGAAAAGGCAAACAACAAAGAAAAGATCAGTAGTTGCCATAGGCTTAGGGTGGGGAGGGATAAACAGGTGAAGCACAGGGGATTTTCAGGGTAGTGAAACTATTCTGTGTGAGACTGAAACGGTAGACACATGTCATTAAGCATTTGTCAAAACTCAAAGAACCTTACAACACAAAGAATGAATCTTAATGTAAACTATAGACTATAGTAATAACAATGTATTGCTATTGATTCATTAATTGCAACAAATGTGCTACATCAACACAAGTGGTAATAATAGGGGAAATTGTGAGAAGGGGTGGAGTGGTATATTGAACTCTAATGTATTACCTGCTCAATTTTTCTGTAAATCTAAACTTATACTGAAAAACAAAATCCATTATTTTATTTTATTTATTTATTTTTGGAGACAGAGTCTCATTTCGTTGCCATTTGGTAGAGTGCTGTGGCATCATAGCTCACAGTAAACTCAAACCCTTGGGCTCAAGCAATTCTCTTGCCTCAGCCTCCCAAGTTGCTGGATCACAGACACAAGCTACAATGCCTAGCTATTTTTTTTTTTTTTAGAGATGAGGTTTTGCTCTGGCTCAGGCTGGTCTCAAACCTGTGAACTCAGGCAAGCCATCCATCTCGGCCTCCTAGACCACGAGGATTACAGGCATGAGCCACCGTGAATCCATTATTTTAAAAAATAAAAGCAAACAGACAAATAAAAGCAAAATAAATAATTTGTTTGGTTCTAATTATAAAGGTAATATATATGCCTTTATATCAGATGAGTGATAATAAACAAATTAACAGGCTTGGCGCCTGTGGCTCAAGTGGCTAAGGCGCCAGCCACATACACCTAAGGTGGCAGGTTCAAATCTAGTCCGGGCCCGCCAAAAACAACAATGATGGCTGTAACCAAAAAATAGCCGGGCGTTGTGGCAGGGGCCCGTGGTCCCAGCTACTTGGGAGGCTGAGGCAGGAGACTCGCTTGGGCCCAGGAGTTGGAGGTTGCTGTGAGCTATGATGACATGGCACTCTACCCAGGGGGGATAGCTTGAGGCTCTGTCTCAAAAAAAAAAAACAAACAAATTAATATATACAAAGTATAAAATCTTTATGATACTTTGCTACTCTTCTTGACCTTAATATAGTCTTAGGTACAAGAGCAACAGATTCCATTTGTAAACAACAAAACATATTTCATTAACAAATCATCCATTAATACTTAAAACTTTCCTTTCTTTGTATTCTAGAGATACTGGGTGAAATTCCTTCTTAGAAATGCTATGTCAACTTTTAAAATTTCCATAAAGTATGTTTACCGGTGTTTTGGTCTTACTGATGTTACTTAATGGAAATATCTATGATGCTCTGGGATGTGAACAAATCATTTGTCCCCCACCTCCACAAGCGGGTAACAATGCTTTCACCTCTAGTCTTCATATTGCTGATTTTTGTTTGAAGTTTATGGGCACGATTTAGCTCCATAGATATGGATAGAAATGCAGGGCTGACAAATAACATCGACATCAGGACTAAAAGTCCCAGGACTACAAACCACTGCAGAGAAAAACACATAGATTATTATAATTAAGAGGCATTTTATATCTCTACAACTTAGAGGTATTATATATATTACAATAATATATATTTGCATTCGATATTACACTGTTTCTATATTATACTGAGTTACGTTCACCTAATTAAGTTGTGGAAAATTAAGAGTTTCAAACTTCATAATTTGATGATCTTAAAGATAGGAGAAAGTTAGAATTCTATTTTTTCTTTTCTTTTCTTTTTATTTCTATCCAGACAGAGTCTCACTGTGTTGCCCTCGGTATGGTGTCACAGCTCAAAGTAACATCAAACTCTTTGGCTCAAGTGATTCTCTTGCCTCGGCCTCCCAAGTAGCTAAAGACTACAGGCGCCAGCTACAATGTCCAGCTATTATTTTGTATTAGCAGACCCGGGATGGGTTCCCACCAGCCCTGGTGCATTTGGCTGGCACCCTACCCGCTGAGTTACCAGTACTGCCAGAATTCTGTTTTCTTTTAGATGGTAAAAAGAATACTATTTTTTCCTTTAGCACCATTGTTTTAGCCCATGATGACATAATTGTGAGGTGCTTCAGCATTTTCCAGTATCTTCTGCAGTGCCCCATTTATGAGTTCCTATTCCTAGTTTTCTAGTTCCTATTTCCGACTTCTCTGACTTCTAGCTAGAAGCATTGTTTTCCTTCATAGTACAGTGACTTAAGTCAGAAACCACAGAAATGTTTTGTTATACAAAACAGTCCATTAGGAAGAATATATATTAAGATAATTATATTTGGGGGCGGTGCCTGTGGCTCAGTGGGTAGGATGTCAGCCCCAGGGTGGTAGGTTCGAGGGTGGCAGGTTCGAGCCCAGCCCCAGCCAAACTGCAACAAAAAAATGGCCGGGCATTGTGGCGGGTGCCTGTAGGCCTGGCTACTCAGGAGGCTGAGGCAAGAGAATCGCTTAAGCCCAGGAGTTGGAGGTTGCTGTGAGCT